TCGGACTATTCGTAAGCCGAAATTCCTGAAGTTCAGGTAACATTTTCTGAAAAATGTGACCACGCTTTGGAAGAGTGAATTTTTGGTGAACTGTGCTGATGTAAAAGGAATGTGGAATGTTGCTATAAATTCCCGTGTACACCAACTTCCATTTGTTTTTACTTGATGGTGATATGTTTATCAGTGGAATCGTAGGCTGACGTCGAGATCAGCTTTTGGTTGCCTGCCGCCTACAGTGTTCTTTATTGTGAATAGCAAGTTCTAGTGAGCTTGCCGGATGAAGTAGCCATACAACCAGAAAGTTTGAAAATCATCATATCCTTACACAAAAGGAAAAGAAAGCTCGAAATTTCATCCATTCTATGTTTTTTTGAGTAAGTTTTAATGGGTTTGCATAGAATAGTTAGATCTTAGGAAACTCCTTACAACCAATAATGAAAGCTACCCACTGCGGATTTCCTTGAAAACTACAAATTATCATAGGTTTATTGCATCTTCCGAACTGCCACTCTTCCGAACTTCTGAAAACCCTTATCTTTTGTTAGTTAGTTCATTGGGTCATCCAATACATAATAATGTGGGGCCGTAACCGGCTGGATCAGAGTACCTCTTCTAAGATTTCAGCTTTGATGCCGGGCCGAACGTCTCAAGTTCCTGTATATTGGTCGTTTGGTCGCTGGACACCTACAATACACACTAATTGGCTAAAGTTATGTGATTTGGACCATTTAGTAACTGATTTCACGTTCCATAAAGCAAACCCGTCTGTATGAAAAAAATCCTATTGATATGGATTGAGGGTTCGGTCGCCAAATAGCTCATTTACGGGAAACTAACAATTCCTTGCTCTCGACAGAACTTTAAAAAGGTTACTGAAGAAAAATGACTCCTTTTACCTATACACATTTCGTAGTGCATCACGATGCCCGTGACAGCATTACTACCCATAATTGGAGTTTTAGCATGTCGATAGACTGTTAAACGAGTCTGAATTCAAATCAGTCTAGGTTGGCTAATCATCTTTCTGTTTAAGCTAAAAAAATCCCCGATGCTGAGAGAAGGAAAAAAACTTGCGTTCCACCCTCCACCTGTGCACATTCTCTGCCACTGGGCAGTGTAGCTCTGTTTCCCTGACTTGCGAGAAAAGAGCGGCAACTCAGGGAGCTCAAGCCAGATAGGCTTAAGGTGTCATGTCTTAATAGGCGGACGTAAAAGCTTGAATAGTGTGTGTTGTCCAAAACTGCCTCAAATACGTTCTGTAAATGAGTAAAGAAGGCGGCATACAAACATGCTTGCACGAAGGCTACCAGGTAAGTAACAGAAGAAGGGACGAACGAAGTAAGTTTCAGGAACAGTTCACTCGGAAATTGCATCTGTGTTAAAGCCACTACCATCCTCTGGTTGGTTCAGTTTTTCCGTAGATTCTGCTTGTTTTGTGTAACTAACCTGGCCACAAACATATAGTTGGGTCGGCTATGTTTTTTTCTAATTCAAATTATAACCGAGGTTAGAAAATCATTGGCCTTTCCAACTGAGCAACCGAGTGAGTAATGGATGGCTAAATATTCATATCAGGTTGCAACAACTCATCCAAAACAGAACACATTAGTTCACAGTCTTCGCAAACTTGGTTCATCCAGTGCTGACAGTGCTTTTCTTGATGCTTGAGGTGTGTTTGCATTAATCAAAACATTGGATTAGCTGGTTTGCTCTGGCGGAAACGTCAAGCTCTCTCACAGACGTTACGGTGTACACCACTAAACTTCAAATCTCTTAGATAAACATGCATTTTGTTTAGCCTACGCAAATAGCGCCACTGTGCTGGCACGCGTACGCATCATCTCTCAAAAGGTTCAGTTTATAGACAGTCAGGGGCTACAAACTCGTGAGACTTACAGGTGACCTAATATTGTTTTCACCGTTGTTCGAGCTTGGCTGAATGTTGCACGGGTTGAAGTGCCACACATTCCACACAGTTCAAGACATATCCAGAGGTGTAGTTGTCAGGATTTCATTATTTCTAAGGAAATTCGGTTATCGAATATGTCGCGATGTGAGGGCCAGTTATTGCTGAGATAATGCGAAAATTACTGCGAACTGTAACACAACAGAGGCCGACATCTTCTGAGAACGTCCTGATTGAGGCCTAAGGTGCGAATTCGTGGTGTGCAGTGTGGTCAACTTGAGCTAATAAAATCAGCACGAAATGTGGTTAGACAACTTATGGGCAATGTGCAATCACGAGCTATCAGTCCAATTAATCCGGGTGACTTCTTTCGGCATCAGCAGTGTCACTCTACTGGCCCCATACGTGCACAAAACTCCAGCGGAAATGGTAGGGAGTTGACTCCTTGGAATCCTAAGCAGCCTTTCTTAAAGAGAAACCTTCCAGCGGCAACATCATCCCTTTCGGTAAAATTCCCCTTAAAGAAATAATCTCACAGGACTTGCTTGATAGGAAATCTGCTTCTGGAATGCATTTTGCGGTGTGACACCATTGTCTAGACTTAGTAGTTAATGATGTTAGCTCACCATTTTTCAACAGACCATATCAACATGGAAGTACCCCCAGGTTCCGCATTAAGCTCCTCTCAGAGGCGACCGATGAGTGATGAGGACATCCTTATTCCAGCTGGCTTTATCGGTTTTTACCAACCCCGACCCGGTGGAAAGTGAACCGCATTGGGAATTAGGAAAACCCTAATGCTAATACTTAGTTGAACCACACGGGAACTTGAGTGACCTTCGAATTGGAGGGAATAACTGCTGTTCTAAATTCTTTTTGGTCATATGAATTAGATGAGCACAGGGTACTAGATAGTAGGTTTACATAGTTACTGGCTAACCGCCTAACTCATGCTGGTAATCTACATCGAAGTAAATAAGACTCCAAGAAACATTTCATTAGGAATATTTCATCTTGGACTCACTTTGCTGACTAAATGCAAAGCAGTTGGAGCAAAAAAATGTGCAGTTAATTTGGACCTTGTACTACACACTGGAGGTTTTCTGTACGGCTAGCAAGACTGTGTGTGGCGGGGCAAATATTTCACAACGCACTTCAAGTTTTTTCCCTTGAATCACTCCATTTCCAATGTTGTTTTGTGAAATTCGTGGTTTTGCATAGACATAATAGTTGTAGGTGGACCGCTAACAACATTATTAGAAGAAATGTTACATTCGCCAGTAGTCACTGTGATCTGATGCTAAACTACCCCAGATATTTATTCCAGCTGTGGTGTCTCAGAGGTGGAGTATCCTACATGTAGTGTTTCGGGGATGTAGTTTCCCGAATGTCTAGTACATGTAACGTTCTAGACTGAAGTAGCGCAGTATTTTTTGGTTCTGAACTGTATGGTTTAGGGCAAGCTGTACGTCTCGACGATACCATTAACGAGTGTCAACTTTGAGGAGAGCAATCAATGAGCACTTGTACCACTAGTTTGACCTGACAGTGATAGCCATGAACCGAAAAATACAGAAGATTAGGACAGACACAGTCTTTAAATATAAAGTTAATCAACTCAAGCTGAGCTATAACATTGTGGAGGTAACCAGTGTCGTTCAACAAACACGGATTTTTAACAAATCATATTATCTTGAGAAGCCAGAACAAATCCACCAAGACTGGCATAGGTCAGGAACGACTCATGCGGGAATCACAATTCCGGATACAAAACTGCTTGTTCTGGAGTTTTTCTTGGTCTCTCCAACAAGAGAAATATTTTTACAATCAACTGGAGAATAGTTGTGTTTGTGTGTGCGTAGATTTAGCCGGCGTACCATCCGTTTGTCCTTTGAGAGAGGCTGAATATATGTGCTTCAACATCACGCACTTAACCAGAGAAAGGGGGGATATGGAAAAATTTAGTGACCACTTAATTAGGTATACCGAATAACTTATTATACATGTTTGAAGGGTTCCAATATATTTTCATCGATATATTCGTGTGCATAAATGGTTCCGTGGACAGCCTGTGGTAATTAACTTGAGCCTCGGTGTTGTGGGGACTTTCGATGAGCAGATTATTCTTTTCCTAAATAGTACAGTTTTTGGAACGTCACCATCTCGGCGAACAATAAATGCCATGATTAGTTTACCTAGAATACTTGGTAGGAGGATTGCTTTTCATGCTTATTTGAGAGGTCACTCTGCACCTCTTTTAGGGATCCAACTATATGCATATTATGTAACCTGTGTAGCTTCACTACGCAAGTGCAAGATATAGAGGCGTCGACTCAGTCATGTCAATATCTAGACAGTTAGTATCGGGGGTGTAGACTACTCAGAATGGTACACTCCAGCAGAGTTCTGAATCTAATGGGGCTATTCAGTATCAGACTAGTTCTAGTGGACCCGTGGCGATGCATCCTATCCAAGCCAAGAAGACCACCTGACCACCTGTTCAAACCTATATTTGAATTTTTTCCCGGTGGAATTTTTTTTACAGATCCATGAGATCTATACTGATGGTGATTTCCAACCATGGAGTTAACTTGCAGGTGAAAACCCAGATTTGAAAAACCATGGGGTCATAACCAGAAGCAGACAGTGATTAGCTGTTTGTGATTATCTATTTGAAATTGTAATTCACTTCTTGTATCCAGATGAGGTTGGTTGAACAAACATCAGAACAGGCACTGCGTAATAACCATGGGTGTTTATAAGAGCCTCCAGAATTCGGGATTTGTGGCCCATGCAGTTGATTATGTGTGGAACGTGACTTTCTACCGAATTTATCGCACTTTCCCAAAAAATTTCCTAAACCTATAGCACTTTTTATGTCATCTTGTAGTGTCATAGCAGACCAGTCAAAGCATTTAGTTCTCCTCTTTAAGTAAGGTTATCCAAACAATGCCGTAAAAGCAAGTGGAAAATACTAGTAGAATCGTATCTTTCGTATAGATACTTCTCAAATATTCAGAAGGATCCTTCCATATTCTGCTCACTCTGAAATGTGATTTATTTTATCCCTTGAATTCCTTCGTGCTGGTTGAAGGTACCGACAAACGGGAGCAAACGTTAAGTCTGATGACTTTGTCTTGAGTGTCACCGATGGAGTTCAACCACCACAGGCCCTACGAATTCCGCTTCAAATCAAGCCCAGAGTATTACACGAACGCCGATTAAACCAAATTGTCAATAATTCCGTTATTGTAGAGGAGAACGGAACAGTGATTTTGCATCCATCCATCTTCCCATCTGCAAATGACACTAATGAAGGCCACTACGCAGGCAGCAGTGCCCCTCAATATTTTCTAATTGTCTTCCCAACCAAGGGCAATCTGATATTGAACAATCGACAGAAAGTTTCTCAGTTCAGCTACGCTGATATTCACAAAGGACGCTTGGCGTACCGTCACGGACCGGCGGAAATTGGTGTGGATCCAATGCTTGATTTTGCAAAGATTTGGGATTTCAATGAAGGGAAAACATTCAGCTTGAATTTTACCCTTGTTCCTGTAAATAGTCAGCCCCCAAGGCTACACGCCGAAGCACCCGTTCAGGTAAGTTCTGATTTGCAATATAAAACTCCTCAAGGCAGGTATTCACTGTAGTTTACACTGTAATCAGACAGTAAAGTTTTCTGACACGTTTGTTGACATGCCAAATGGGGTACTGTAATTTTAATTCTGAGAATGTGATCCAGGTGAGCTCACACATTTCCTGATAAAAAGGTACTTATATTTAATTATCGAGTTTCTTAATGCATTTTTATATGGACGGTAGTGCATAAAAGCAATGCACCACATTTGATGAACCTAACGTGGACTTAACCCATTCCCTGTTTCATTTAAATTTGGCACTGAAAAACGGAGTAATTGGCCTCAAATTGCGCTCGTATTCCCACCCGAGAATTTAACCAGATATGGCAGTTTTCATGCAACTGTCATGTAGACCTCGGTGGAGACAGTTGTTTATTCTTTCTTGTCGCTTTAGTTCTGTAGATACCTATAAAAAACACTAATCCAACAAATAAAATCCAGTTGACATTGGCTCCATCTGGTGCTTTCTAGTGTGGCACTAGTGATGAGGTTGATGAAAATGCGTAGGCAGCTACTACAAGTTTCGCCCTTTTCAAAACACTTTGAGTGTAGTCCCCAAATTTCCATCAGCTTCATTTTGCATCTGAACGGGAGACCTATCTAAACCTCTCGTTGTTGATTTTCTTTATTAGTAAATGAGTTTTAGGGGCGACCAAAAAGTGCGTATCATGCAAGGAAATCGTTTCTGGGGGAACTGTCGTTGACCCCTGATTTTGAACAACATACGTGTTCTTTATGAACGCGACTTTCTTCAAAGAATCCAACACTTTCTGGCGATGTCATGACTCGTGTTTGAATCACTAGTCCTGATGGTAAACAGATGGTAAGCAAATGCAACACGGATATATAGGAAACGTCGTGATGATAACGCCAGGTGTCCAGGCAAGATAACGCCCATTTGTGAACTAATCGTGTTGGTTTATGCCGATAAGGTGAATTGAGAGGCTGGGAATTATACAGGATGCTCATAATATGTCACACACCCATGCGTATGCCAGAAAACCTATGTGTATGTCCATTTCTGTCTACAAAGCTCCGGCGGTGTACATTTAGCCCGACTATGAACAACCACAAACATGGTTAACCTAGGGACCAAAACAAGCTACCAATGTGCAAAAAAGTGGAGAGACGCCTACACAATCCACTCTCTTCCTTATAATGTGGTGTTTGTATGATGTGAAATTTTGTTGCTCTCCTCAGCAAGCTTTTGACGCTAACGCCACGGGAACTTCGTGAATATACAGACAACTGGACGATGGTTACTCACAGTGAAAAAGCGGGAAAATAGTCGGACTTGGCAACTGGCAGTATTCGCAGTATTCCCAGTCAGTGTTGGAAATATCATGTGAACTCTGGTTCGATTCTCCTACTATTGTTTGCGACGGTGAACACAGTGAAGGCATCCTGTGTGAACTTAGAACCATGTCATAGGAATTAGACCAGTGTTTCAATGCTCACCCGGGCATCCAGTTCCGAAGAAGAAAACTGACAAAAGCGTACTTTCCTTACCATCTATACCAGCCCGTGTCCCATACCGACGTAGTTCCTTCCACTCACCCACTCAAATAATGCTTTGAAACATAACTTGATCTATCGGGCACTGTGCATGTTCTGCTGCACTAATGGCGGTACTATGACACGATTGGTTTAGAGACCGTGCCTTCAGTTACCGTAGCAACCAGCTGCGATCACAGCTGAGTCCTGGTTTCTGCGTCTGTGCTCCGTGCCTCAAAAACTACACTAAAAGTGGTGATTTTTGACCAGTGTATATGCCTTCTTTTCAAACGGTCATGTGACCCTGCGGCTAGTGGTTAGGCCTCTTGACCACTGAAACACTACCTCGGTCTCGCAATATCTGGTCAGTGAGCCTATTCAGAAGAAAACTGGTAAGATGATTGGTCTTCACAATATACCCTTTCACAGGCATCTTTGCACGAAGGAACGAATCCATTCGCTTCCAATCGATCTTCTTGACAGAGAACTTAGCATACTAGAGGAAACTCAACTGAAAATCAGAGCGTGCGAATAGTTGGTTGTCTTGGGCAAATAGACTATCCAAAGGCTGTCAGCGTGGTGCGAGTAAATTGTAACGACATTCTAAAGGGGACCAAGAAAGGAACTGCAGGGCATGCGGTGGATTCCACCCAGTAGCGAACAGTAAACTAAGAGTACAGCCGTATCTCATTGGTTGATGTCATCCCACCGCCAAATGTCATTCGTTTTTCTTGCAGAAGTGACCTGTGCTGTCGATAACACCAGCGTTCTTAGAAAAAGCCGACAAAAACGTCATTAATTTTCTGCAATGACTGGATAATAACGAGCTAAACAACTCTAGATACACTGGTCACAATCACTGTTAAACGCAACAACTCATGCGAACGATTCTGCCTTATTATTTGGCCGTCAGTTTAGCAGGTTAAGCTGCGTCATCTTCTCAGTTCGAAGCGATTCCTAATTATTTTGCACTGAGTTGACTACTTCGTTTAAGTTTTATGGTCTTAACAAGTGTTTTTTCTGAAGGCTTCAGGTTTCTATTCTAAGTGACGGTGTTCACTTTACGAAACCCAGTTCACAGTTCATTGACAGTTCATTTCACTGACGAATTTGTGCGAGACATCACGTAGACTTTTCTGGATAATTTATTTATTAAGGCTTACAGTTGCGCAGACATGCATGGGATATATAGATATTATCATGGAAGTGTTATTTCTAGGTGATTTGCTTTTGTATGGGGAAGAGTAGGGATCCAAGGGGTTCTCTTAGTCAAATATTCGAAGTTACTGGTTACTGGTTTACTGGACATATGAAATGTCGTAAGAGGAAGTATGGCATTGAAAATTACTACATTCTTTTCAATAACTTGTTTCCAACAGGCGGGGGTTTTGACTTCATTGGACACAGCACCGAAAACAAGCAATTCGATTCTTCGGATTGTCTTATATCTTGCACACTTTGACACCTTAGTTTCCACGACGTCGCCATTGCAATTGTCTTTAGAACTTGTATGACAACACAATTTTTTATTATGCAGTAAGAAGGATATCTGTTTGATTCAGTAAATCGGAGAGGCACGACATCGCAGAAAAGCGGTCCGATCACCACTTTTTCACCGATCGACTCCACACATTTTGGTCAAACTGCGTGACACCTGTTGATAGGCCATACCCAACCTATTGCAGCAGAAAGAATGCGTGTTCTCAATCTTAACCCTAATTCAAATCAGGAGTAACTAAACGTACGTATTACTAAAAAATAACTAAACAAGATCAGTACTTCGCTCTATTTAGCGACACGCACCAAACGGCCACCATGAACCGCTGACATGCATTAGTGGTTATTGGAAGCTACTCATGAGTAGTGTGAAAAGAAAGCAAATTGAATTGACCTTTCGGCTGTGTCAACAGATCTATATTCGGTGGACTAGGGGGTTGGAAAAGCAACGAATGCGTGTCGACAGTTTTCACGGAAGGCTGTTTTCCACTCCAAAGGTGTTATTCTGACATTTAACATTTCTACTGATTGTGGTGTCTGTATTTACTTCAGGTGAAAGAGGGTGGGAGAGCCCTTATCGATCAATACATTCTCCATGCCACGGACCCAGACACGGCCGAGGCAAACATTCAACTCCAAATTATTCATGCTCCCCGCTGGGGGCATATTGCGGTCGCAGATATCCCTGTTAATACAACATCTCCAAGGCTGGAAGGACTTATTCCTGTGGTTGATGGCAATCTAACAGAGACAATGAATTTCAGCATGCAATTTCTCAAAGATGGTCGAATATATTACGTCAATTCCCTTCACGCTGACGGTCGTGAGTCTGTGGAAGATGTCTTCAGCGTAAGAGCTTTCGACGGCTCACTTTATTCGTCACAAATCGTAGAAGTAAAAGTGGCCATTCTTCCGGTGAATGATGAAATTCCCATCGTCAGGCTTCTGCGGTATTTCTCAGTATCACTTGGTGCGCGTCGAATATTGACACCATATCTTTTTAGTGTGAGCGACAAGGATGTGCCCCGTGATATGCTTCAAATTCAGTTCACACAACTACCAATATTTGGAAATCTAACTGTCTACTGGCAGCATGGTGAGAAATCTTTAATTACTAAAACCAGTCCTCCAATTACTGAGTCCTACTTGGGAATGATGAATTTACTTTATGTTCAAAATGAGTCGTTATTTTCTGCAAGTTCTCTGGAACAACCTGGGCCAAATTCCAGTAAATTGCTTGGCATGGATCGGTTCACAGTTACTGTTTCGGACGGTCATCATGTGATAGAAAAACAGGCCCATATACTTATTCGATCACATAATAAATACGCACCTGAGATGACCGTTGATCAATCGAATCCCGATGGTCTAGTCTTGGAAGGTGTGCCATGGACAAGGCTGGACAAAAAACCTGGTGGTTTGATTATCGCAGACCAGGATACGTCTGAAGATGACCTTATCATTACAATAATTCAGGCTCCAAAACATGGGTCAATACAGAGGCTACCTCGTCTTGATCGAGCGAATGGGGTTGAGTTGTTGGACCTGATTGAAGATGCGTGGGATACAGAAGAAGCATTGGCTGCTGATAATGAGCAGGAACAGGCCAGAATGGCCCTTGCAGGCAGCGTTGGAGGACCGAAATCTCTAAAGACACTGAAGGCTGGGGACCGATTTACAAAAAGGCAAATGGACACAGAGCGTATTCAGTGAGTTTTCAAAGTGTACTATATAAGTTTTTTATTTGTTGTGAGCAAACACAGCCAAAAGCTTACCGAACACCAACGTTTCGCTTTCAGTTACGTTTACACCGGATCTTATAAGGAAACTGATGTATACGATTCCTGTTCACTTCGACTGTCCGATGGAGATTATGAGGCACCCGTCACAACTCTCAGATTTCGAATTAGGAGAACAGCTGGTCGCGCGGGTTCTTCTTCTCTACGTTATTCTCCAACAGATCAAATACAGGTACTTCGACCTGTGGAGTATGCGGATCAAATTCAAACTGAGGCACACAGAATGCAGGATCCTACAATGGGTAAGTGTCGTTGATTGTGACATGTATGAAAATTTGGTTCGGATAGATGAAGATCTTGCACTTCCCACAAGAATGCCGCGAATAGGGAAAGTTTCGTTCCCTATATAAAGTGTTCGCCATATCGGAAATCTGTTTGCAACCAGAATTGCCTCAGAAGCGTAAGCCTTCCACAAATAAGGAAGAGTTAAAAAAAAGTAGAACGCAATTCTGCTGTCTAGTCAGTTATAAAAACCAATTTCGAATGAGACTATCTCCGTAGTTGTAGTTTCCTCACTAAATCCCACTTCCACCCCCATAACCGGGCTTGTCGCGCTAGTACTCGTATGACCTCAGTGTGCCCCCTCCCCAATAAAGACTGGTGGCATTAGCACAAGACGTTACCGTAACGACGATCGGTGCATGCTATTCTGACCGAAGGCAAGCTTGTACGTAGTGGGTTATGGTGTGAACAAATGTATATTAGGAAGGGGTAGGTGCTAGTTTCTCTCAGCCTCCTGACTGCACGGTCCATCCGGATGGTTTTCGTCCTTTTATGGAGGCAAAAACATTCATTCATTCATTCCAAACGCTGCGCTCACAATGCCTTTGAAGGGCCCCACGCCAGCAAATCACCCGGTCGCACACACCTCCAGCATATTCACTGAAACTCCCCACCCCTCTATTGCGCAAGCCCATAAACGAGGTAAGCCAACTACACCAAGCCCCGTTTGAAGCCGAGCTTGGAACCGGTTCCATGAGTCATCGTCAGTACAAGGGTGAGTGGGTGAGGGTTTCTCCCCGATCGGTAACGCGAACGTTTCCAAGTCAGTTGCTAAGCTTAGCGAACAAATCAGTAGTCAAGTTCCAATAAATGTACCCGAGCTACTAGTATTCCGACATCATCTGACATTCACTAAATTTATTATTGGTGTCGATTCGGTACGCGCAAAACTTGCATACGAACTGGAAATCCTTCAGCGCCCACGAAATCACTTCACCGATTCACGTGACAATCAAACTATGGATCCATCACTCGTGGCAGGACGGTAAATCGTTAACTGCTATCCTGGAGGTGGTAGGTTCGAAACGCTTTGGGGTTTAATGTGATAAGCAGAACTGATGATTCACAGTACGGATGAAACAGTTGTGCATTGCTTCTCAGTTGTTCAGCATAGATTGGTTCTACCTAAAAGGCGGAATCTTAATTGAAAAACAAAACTATTTGACATGTGTGACGCGTAATGGCCATTGGTTTAGCGTTCTCATTCTGGACGCTTGACTATTGATCACGTAGGCGCCAGATTTGAATGCAACGTTCATGCTGTTGAGTAGAGGGGTAATATTCTTGTTCTAGTTGCCTTTGGCACATAGGGATTTCGGAATAAGCACCAGATGCACTTCAATGAAAATTGCTTGAACCGTTTCTTATCTGTTAACCACGAATCGGCTTTTACCCATATCGTAGGATTATTGTGAACTCTGTGTGATGATGTTACACAGAAATAATTGGTAGCGGTAACAGCAGAACGAGGAAGTTTATAGTATAAGGTCCATGGTTCACTTTTGAGTGTTGGGTATGTCTGGCAATTGTTACAGAATTCCGAATTTGAAACATACAAACAAGGAGGGCTCCTAGCTCACGAAAATGCACGTTGAATGGAAGAAAATGAGGCTCAGTACCGTCCGAGTGTATCCTGAAAGGTCAAAATATCTGAGTTTGCTATTTGCGCAGTATCAGAGATGAACGGGGAATGCGCGAGTCGAATCCAGAACAGAAGTCTTATGGTTTGGTTGTTTCAGATGACTTCATTCTCAGTTGAACGGTTTTTTGATAGGTTAGTGTGAAAAACTCTGAAAACTCTGAAAGTTCAAAACACATCTCCATGACTTAAGAACCAACCGGAGTCTGTTGGTCCCCAAACTAATCCCGATGTAGCTGTTGCACATGCAGGCCGCAAGACCTTTGAATGTGTTAGTCCACGCTGCCAGTACCTCGGTATTCCGTCATGGACTTTTGAACGTGTCTGCGTTGAACGGACGCATGATCTAACTTGCGCTGTAACTGCACTGTCTGTACTCGTCATGAACATCAGACATTAGGATAAGAGGTTTCACCACATCTAGTGTCACTTAAGGCTTGCGTTGTGGTCGTCAATGCTTTGATCACTTTTGAGGCCCTTACTAATATCTTATCCGGTCGACCAGCAGAATGGTTTAGACCGTCAGGCACTGTTTGGGCTTCAAAAGCTGGAACATAGCCATCAGGATATCCAGGTCACAATCGCTGTCGTTCGACTGACTTTCAATACGCCCTGGCTCAGTGGGCCTGAAGCGGTCAGCTGAACTCGTCTATGGACTCGTGAGATTGTGGCACATAACCTCACGTTTCAGTGCATGAATTCAAGAGGCTTGCCGCTGGATTATACATCAGCGTTCCGCTGCGCACAACGGGACACTCTGTCGGTAGGCCTTAGTGTTTTTTCCTAAAAAAAACATCCTAGACCCATCTCAGTTGAGGATCAAGCTGAGCGGCCGATCAGCAGTGAGTGACACACGCAGACAGGACAGAGGACCACTCAACCCCCATTTGCAGAAGTCACCTCGCTTGGCACATGCTGACTGGCATCTCCAGCGATGACTCACCAGTTGAGAGGTTGACTCGCGTAATTTTTTGCCTTTCCTGAGGTACTCATATTGCGTTGGTATTATGGGATTTGTGAATTTTTTGCGTTTCATGCATTTTTTTCCAATTTGTGCAATCCGAGGCCACGACATGATCGCACCGTTTTGTGAAGTTAAGCGAACTATTGATAGATTTTCTTTTCTAGTCCCGGGACAGTGTATTCCCCTCTATAAACCAAATTTCTATAGATGCCAGCTTTTTTGATGCCATCGGCTAAAGGCATTTCATTGATTTTCAGTTTTGCACTGACTAACGACGTACCCATTGTATCCCTTAGCTTGCTCTGTCCCATAATGTGCATGTCCGCGAGTTTTTCGACAAAAGACAAAAGTTTTCATTCGTGAAACCACACTAACGTGGTAAAACAGGTCAGTCAACTAATGTAAGGAGCACCTAACTACGAGAACTCCTTGTCTTAGTTTGCACTGGACTGGTACAACTCAATTCACTTTTCTTTCCAAGCGGGCAAATTGAGGTCATAGTCTCCGATTCAACTACCAACCTACTGCAAAGTTTTCTTGTAAAAATTGAATGTTATAGTCCCGTTCCAAAAAATCGAGACCAAGCCGAACTCCTCCTCTCTTCGAAGTGTTTTGTTGATGGAACATTCTTACTAGGAAAAAATACTGCACTCGTTTTTCGACTACCTTGCCAACTCACCTTACGGTGAATTTAGTGTCACGGCCTCAAAGTCCTATTCTAGTTTATTTAGTTAGGAATTCGAAGACAAGTGCTACAACCCCGAAAATATAAAGTTCACCACAATGACCGAAACTGTATTGCTCAAAGAATTTTTCTTCAAAGGGTACTATTGTGCTCATCAGTGAGGACTAGATTTCGTTCGACGTACTGCGTAAATTTCGTTTTATACTAACCAGTGATTTTGTGACCAAACTGCTTTCAAAGATAAACAATTATGAAACCTTTGTATAGGAAAAGTTCACTATCTACGGCTTTTTCACACCAAAAAGACGGTCCGGTTTCTGTTATCTTACACTGTGATATGTTCGTCTCTGAGTGACTGATGTACAGGTCACCAATATACCGTGTAGAAAGTGGTCACCCGGAGAGCAGGTTTGATTTATTGCACTGTCACTGCAGTAAATTTGTAAAGCTTTTATAGTACAACTATAAATATACATGTATCGTATCGTTTATATCATATCCTCTGAGAGTGCAACTTAGTAAGAAGGAAAAATCGTAATTAATGTACTCAGATAGGAGAAAATCCCGCCATTTGCATAGAAGTTCCATTGGAATAGTCGTCAGTAAAATGCACAGCACGAACACTGTGAGTGGATGATGCGGTCCTATAATTCTGTTGGTCGCACATTAATCACACGGTTGATAAACCATTCGTCGCCGAATGGTAAGATATTCATATACTAGCCGGGTGATTGCGGGTTTGGATCTCCCAGGGCTTTGTGAGAGACGCGCTGTTTGTGTCTCTCGGAGACTATCAAACTGGTTAGCCGTGCTTCCAGCGTCGGCTTTAGGTGGTATCTTTTACGGAGTGAAAACTAGACTGGTGTGACGGGAAGGATTTCGCGGCCGTACAATCCGCCTTGACTCTCTGGATTATCGTATATACTGTTGTTCAATGTGCAAACTTGAAGTCCTATGGAACAATCAGAGCTGCAAACCAAACAGCCGGATCTGAATGAGGATACGCTAAACAGACAACTTTTTCGGGATGATGCCTGATGATAACCTGAAACGTGTGACCTGTGAATTAAAGACGGATTTGCAGCATGTTATTGTGTTGATGAGGCAGGAACAAAAAGGGCGTAGCTTGCAATTTTTGGAATTACATATTTTTATTTTGGAATCCTGTTATCAGTCACTGATGCCTATTAAATCCCATGCTCTTCAGCTTGACCGGTCACGAAAGTTGCACAAGCCCAGTGTTCCTTATTGTTCCATCATGACCATGAATAGATTACCCTGGTGCCTAGAGTGTGGTTGAGGAGATGGGTATAAACACCATCCCACGCCGACGTTCATCAACAAACGATGTGTTATCATTTGTAAATTGGTGGGGGAGGGTGGTACATGTATTGATAAGGACAAGTATAATAATAGTAACAGTCACCGACTTGTTTGCTATCCAGCTCACTAACCCTTTTAATACACATTACAGAAAAGATGGAAAGCAAAGCTTTTCAACAAATGGATGATAGTGGATTGGCTGATATGACAAGACCAGCTATACGAATGCCGCCACATGAAGCATGTGTTGAACAGCACACCTTTCTCAACTTCCGATCTTTGGAATTCGAGCCGCTGAATCTCAGTGAGAACGCAAATCATCCGTCCGGTTTGGTCAATTTCACCCTACACGTAACAGAAGGTTACAATTTCTCCCATGAGGGTCGAATACAACCAATGGCTTGTGGTCACTTCATCATGGCTGACGAACCGCTAGATTCGGTCACCCAATTCAGTGCAAACGATGTGCGTGAGCTAAAAATTGCATTTGCAGCGAAGGGTTGCAAACCATTCATCGAGCAGACAGTAGATGCTCTATTTATGATTCACATTCCATTTACACCCAGTCCTCTCTATGCCGTTCTCCCGATTCGTATTACTAAGCGGTGTCGCCGTGTTCCCGAACTGGAACGTATCCACCCAGTTTTCATTTTACCCGGCGCTGACATCCCTGTGAATTCAAAGAATTTATTGTTCACAGATCAAGACACAAGCCCGGCAAACTTGGTATTTATCATCAGCCGCAACGTGGGAATCGGCTCAACACAAAATTTTGGCAGGCTTCTAACGGAGAAGAACGAAACGGTCTACTTGTTTACCCAGTCGGAGTTGAACGCGGGTCAAGTTATATTCAGTTCGGATACAAATGTGATATGGAGAAATGGTGACCGACAATTTGTGGAATTACATGTCTTTGATGCCGGAGAATTTGATGGTGTCTTGGAGGCCGCTAGTTTGAACGGTCTTGTGGGACGAGCGTTCAAAGTTTTGCAACAGCATGGGACGGCTGAAGCAAATCCATTCAATGAACGTATGCAGTATATTGCAGATAGGATTTCTCGTACTCTATCTATCAAGCCAGTTCGTTTGGAAATCGCACCAGCATCCATTCAAGCGGTTAGGAGGTCTGATTCAAAGTACGCTTTGTTAATCCGCAGAGCCCCTGCGCCGCACACCTTGGGAACGATTAAACCTGGACGAGTTGGATTCCGTCTCAATGCAATGAATTTGTATGCAGAACAGCCAGATGCCACCTACAGATTGATTCAGTTGCGTGGAAATCGCGGAGAATTCTTCAATCTGCGGACAAATCATTCAGTCAGCACATTTTCACAAGAGGATTTGAACAGAAGAAGAATAGCATTCATCCTGTTCGACACACCGAAAAAACGGACCTTGGATGCAGGAAGGGAAAGGGGTACTAAACAGCTCCAGGAAACCAGCGTGGACATCGACTTTGAAATAATCGATCCTAATGCGCGTCTGACACAAGCACATGAGAGGTATGTTTTTGTTATTCACATGCCGGTATATATATATATATATATATATATATATATATATGATTCACTTTTATTTGGACCTCTTTGCAAACTGTGCGTCATCTAACGTATGTATCCAAAGTAGAGCTGACACTACTGAAGCAAATATGTTCATTCTCTGCATGCCTACACATGTTTTGATCCTATTGACTGACTAATTGTTTAAGCACAGTGTACTTTAAAGCAATATGGCATAGAAAAATACAACAAACTACAGAGGAATATGTCATTACTTGTAGAAAGCAACGCACGACTTGTCGCGGAAATTGATGAATCTATGTGGAAAAAAACAGTTTGTTATGGTATGGTGTGATGCACATTGTTAGTGAACTGTGGAATATAATCTTATTAGGATGGCATAACGTCGAATACAAAGTCAGTGGTTTAGTTTGGGGTTCAACTATAGAGACATGTGATGGTGCGATGGGGAATCTTAGCGACTGGGTTGCTCCTGGAAACACTGATGATCCTCCTACATTGTGACGAATCCTTCTTGGAAAAGCTGCGCTTCAGCTACATTATATTATAACCGTTTAAATGTTTTGTTCGGCGCAGCCAACATGACTACCAGATTTCCGTCCATTAAGTATGTTGACAGTGTGGTTTGGGAGGAGAAACGTACACGGTTTATAAGCGATCACGGTGTTCAGTCTATCTGAATCGAAAGCGAATCACAAATCGCTTATCGAAGCTTCTTGGTTTTTCTTGTAAGACTGAGCATATTTTTAACAAAACAAAACTCTCATTTAGATTTTGAATTCGAAGCAAGCTGTTTACACAGTACACCATCTTCAACGCCCACCTAAGTGGAGTGACTGGTTAGTCTTCGCTCCGGTAATTCTCTTATAACTTTTAAGGACAGAACGACCGTCGCACCAACGGTAATGTGACTGACGATTTCGAGCGCAGCTGAATTTATGTGCTGTTTGTAACCTTTGATTATCTTAACTCATCCGTCCTTTGCAGAAGTAATTTAACGACAAAAGATCTCTGAATAAACTGCAGGCGAGTGCTGCCGGGAAGGAGCGATAAAACGGGATGAGTATCATGGATCAAGTTGTGATAAAAACCCTTCCGGATGAACACGCGTTGGCTGGTGAAAATTGACGTCTTTTTTCATTCCTAACACAAGGGATCTCAGCTGGCTGATGCTTTTAGAAAGTTGAAGGCTTTTTTTAAAAATGGATCAGCAGTAAATGTCTGCCTGGATTAGTTGAAATTTCCCACCGTACGTTAGCGTTTGTTACAGATTTAATTGGTGCAGACGGTTTATGTCTTCCTGACTTACGTTCCATGAAAAGCGCAACACAGCCATGCAATGCGCTTTTTCCTATCCACATTCCCGTAGCAATCAGGTCAGTCGGATTCTGTAAGTGCGAGTTTTAGGAGACATTCAATCTTATGTGCTTTTGTTTAGAGTTCTCAACAATAAACATGTTGCGGTCAGTAAACCGTTTTTCTATTTTTTAACAGTCTTATCCACTTTAATCTCCGTGTTCTCCGTCTTCATCCATCTCCTCTATTTTTTTTTAACGAATCCCATATAGTCTAAGGCTGGAATGGATGCGCATTGGATTTCAAAGACGATCTTATCGGGTGTGTGAGGATCGTGGGTTGCTCCGACTTGGCGTACAGCGTTATGGAGCATCCGAAGCTATACAAAACGTTACCACGGATGCCTACGTCGGTTTAACTTCCCAAACTGCCGTAGAAGGTCAGGATTTCAGTCTTCACTCACAAAAACTTTTAACATTTCGGTTGGGTGAGTAATATTGTTGTGATTTTTCCCAGTCCGGCCTAGATATACGTACACGAGAGGAATCAAGTTCCAAATCATGCATTGGTCGCGAACATAAAACCTTGACGTATACTTTGAATGGTCTAAAATTGGCCTATGGAACAACGTGAATGAGCAAAGCACATAGCACTTCACAAACCGGATGCATTTTGTTGCACTTCTTTAGCTGCGTGTCGTAACTGCTGTTGTACTTGGGCCATTTTTCCGGGTCGATAAATGATGCCTTTTCACGGTTTGAGCTAATAAACCATAGGGAGTTGACACTCACTTTGAGACAGTGTAATACCGGATAAGAGGTCAACCTTTCTGAAGAATTCGCTAAACAATCGGTAAGTTCTTAGCTGAGCGGTGTTTCGCTGTTGACATAGAATTACTACTGAAACATTCGTCGACCAACCTATTCCTTCTCTAGACGAGGCTGAGCGCGGTTGCTACTCGCTGTGCACGCTTGATCCTTCACACGTATCGAGCTTGACCAGACCAAACAAACGTCCCTTGTGTTTATAAGTGCTACTTGTAAACTAACCCACCGAGCACTATAGTGAATATCAACTGATTCTGAGTTGGCAACAGTATTGAAACCGTAAACATCGTTGGAGCTAATCTGACCTGACAGTCACTACAATATTGCATTATTTCTAATTGGTCTTCTAACAGGTGAAACACGCAAATTTGTTTACATTCGCCTACATCCTCGAACGAACGGTCAAACAGAAAAACGGGAATTTTTCGTGGATTTGAAATCACCCAGCGGTGCAATGCTTGACTGGAATAGACGAGCATATGTGGTCATCAGGGGTGAGTTCAGTTCAAGTCAGTGACCCCACGCTTGTTATTCATCTAGCAGGAATTTGTCGCAGGCCGAGTTTAAGGACGCTGTCATGAGCCAGAATGTTGAAATTTCACGAACTCTGCAACCTTTCGGTAACAGAACAAGTTCCACTAAACATTGCTAGTAGAGCCGTGTGTTTGAACCGTCTTCTTTGTCGCTGTCATGCCAGGTGTCAGCCCTAAATCCACTTGAAAAAAATCTGACAACATCTGCTGTTTTCTGAGGTACATGGCGTTCCAACGACTAAAGCCCCAGGGGATTTTTTAAATTTCGTAGTCGTCATGGATTATGCTGATGAGCTTCTTCGCTTAGATGACGCATAATCCCGAGATTCTGATACCTTGGATAAAATATCTGTATTAAGGTGTCGCACCCGACCATAGAAAGTCAGATAACTGATCAACAATTTAACAAGCAGCAAATCGGGGTCTTTTCGCGGTTTAGAAATGAATTAGGAAAATTCTTGTAGCCAACAATACATCCACTTCGCATTGAGCACTTCAATGGTACCAAATTTGTGTGCATATCATCTATGAGAGGATACCGACCAGTGTTTATTACTCCGCAAAAACTACGGTAAAATAGAAGGGTTACTAATTTTGAGAGAAAGCGGATTCCAGCCCTACCGAACGAACCACATTCTTACCATACCATATGGAACTGTGCATTTCAAGAAAATTCGGTGTGACTGGGGAGAATCTACTCAATTAATCGCAAGTTTACTTCCCTGTTATCATTATGGCGCTTCGTTGAATTGTGGTATTTGCTATTTTAGAGGACCGACTACCTTTATCATTCGGTAACATTTACATGTATTTAGCGCCTTGCCACACGGAAATCATCCTCACAGATGAGATGATTTGATGAATGAGGTTAACAACCTAATCGATACAGTGCACAACTTCCAGACATTCGCTTGCAACTTTCATTCATTAGCTATTCCATCTTCCAGCTTTTAAGAAAGAGTAATTTGTTTCCTGGTTTGCTTTGTTTTCTTTAGCAAATTCCAACTGCAAAGATCGCGCATACTTTAGTCCACAGCATCGAGAGGTATGTTCCTACATGAATGTAAAACTTACACCGATACTTTCTATCACAAGGTGAATTACCTAGCTAATTATTGCTTCTAACAATGGAATTATGCCAAGCTACCTGTTGTCAAGAATCAAAGTTGTAGGTCTACTTGGCGTCCTAAAGTGCATGACGGAACATTTTAACTAAATTGGTCGGAAAACTACTCGCCGCAGGTTTCAAACACTTCCCGTCGTTCAGCGAGTTCCTACCACGGGAAAATAAATAAGGCTGAGAATTCTAAATGTGAGGTCACATGTAAGGTTGCATCTGGACGCTTAAAGTAGCGTATCGAGTTATTTTGCATCTTGTTAGAGAGGCTAAACTTGATATTATGGTAAACATACTAACCAGGTTTTTAGCTTTATAAGCGTTTACGGAGTTGATCAAAACTTTGACACCACCGTCCTCACCTAAGCCTTGTGACCAGAGGGACGAAAAAGGATAACCTAGTTTACTACCTGTTAACACAGGATGCAATGTGAAGTGCCGATGAGGACTCAGTATTCACTTTGGTGAGTCTGTCTCAAACCACCAAGTGACAATTAAAATGATGGATGCGATATTTGGATCGGTAACTTTGGGAGCAACGAAAATAAAACACACACACACAATCAGAGGTCCAGTTTAGGGGTGCTGTTTAGTCCAATCAGCACAGTGGTGCTACTCTAATTTGGGAGATTCTACTCAGAATTTAGTTCCATAACCCGCAGTACCTGTTGTTCAACGTTTGATCAGAACCCGCGTTTAGATATTTCTGATTAGCTCAGATAAATGTATTGTTGAATTCCACTAGAAGAATTTGGTTTCATCATCATCATTGTCAGCTGTACTTGTCGTACAGTGGTTGTAGCTGCCACAGTTTCGTCCACTGATGATTCGGTGAGGTGGAGTAGTTAGCTGCAATTGTGTTCAAACGACTCCGAACCTGTACTACCATGATTACCAAAGTGTACAATAAACCAGAGATTCAGCTGGGATTCGACTGATTTTCCGTGAAAACCAAACTGATAGTAAATAAGTGCATTTCACGAAATTTCTTACCGCCTCTGATTGAATACCCTTATCATCGTCGTACAATTATCTTCATCTAGGCTCATGTGATTGAAAGAAGGGAAATGGGACAGGAAAGGGAATTTGGGTCTAACCTACCAATTCGTGGAGATTCGGGAATTTTAATGAAGGCTTTGACCTATCAATGAAGCCAATCTATGCTAAAAAGCTGGGAATTAGTGTACAGCATTGCATTCTAACAGGGGATCATCAGTACGCATCTCACGAAACGTCCACAAACGTCCCAGGTGCACATACCTCCAGCACTCAGTCAGTTTCAGTGGACAGCATAAAGTTATTGGCGTCGGTTAGTCGCCTTATCTTTCAGTACCTCATCCATAAGTAACTCGCCGTTTTTTGAGTGGCATGCATCGGTCGATTGGAGAAACTAAGTAAGACGAAACTATTAATCTTAGCTGTTTGCAGGTGATTGTAAACGGTAACCCAAAATGAGCTCATGTCACCTGCATCTCCGGAATCTTCGCAAGAAGTACAAAGTTTTTACGTATCATCACTGCATTCCAAACTTAAATTCAGAGAGTGGTTGATGTGTGTTATTTCGGGTGCAGTGAAATGTCATGAGTGACCGCAACCAACTGCACTTTGTTTCAAGTCGCCGTGATACCAAGAAACGTCCCTTCCTTTAGTTGATAGTCATTTATACAGCTTGCTATTCATATCAAAACACGTCATCTCATGGACCAAACATAAATCTTTATTTCAGAATCCAACCAGACGTGATACAACATATTTAACTCAAGCAGAATTCGGGGAAACGCAGGTGGAGAAAATGTCTGCGGATGATAACGGTGTACGGAATGCTCATGGTTTAAGCCATAGTGCTCGACCCCTCCATCAAACCCGCTCTATCAGTCTACATGAATGGCTGGCTATCAACGAACTTCCTGATTCACAGACACTCAGTGTTACATACCAAGAATTTCTGCACAAGAAGCAGACTAATAGATGCACCGAAGGTAAGTCCTCATCATTGTTTAACGTCTAGGACTTCACCTCACAATGCTAACTGCTGAGTACTTTGACTCATCCATTCGACTTTCACTTGAATGTTTAGGTAGTACTTCTATGCGTTCGAAGGTACTGAATTTCAATAAAACCAAAATATTATCATGTCTTGGCAATAACTCGCGGGCGATCAGACACTAGTGAAGAACAGTTGACTTTCAGTTGACTGAATTTAATCCACAAACACTATTTTCCTAGAGATATTTTCTGCCAGCTTGCAGACTCTAAGATGCACTATGTAGAACAGCCACATAGAATAAATGAACTTTGCTGATATAGTTGCCAGACAGCTAAGGGACTGTCTCTCCATCCATTAAATCAACCTCGGCCAAACAAACCGGATGTTCTTCTGGTTTTCTAGCATCTTCGTTCGCAGAACTCTCGCTGTTGTGTTCTTCGATAGAGAATTTCACCTTGCTTCATAAAGAGCAATTCATTCTTGTATAGTAGCTGTCTAGAATGTCAGATTTCTGGAACTAATCCCAGAATGCCTGAGACCTACTGAGACCCTCAAACTCCACCAAAATCTCAATAAGGTAGGCGGCAGGCATACAGGCCATTCAATCAATCAACCATTCCAGCAACAGTCGATAAGTATTCAGGCATTTGATAGAAGTACGGTCCATGATGATGGGTGTTCACCAAGCGTCAATCAAACAGTATGGATCAACGTCAAAAAGTGCCCTTCAAATACTGAGAGGCCCCATGTAACTGTCGCACATGCTTGTTCGCAATAAAGCAGTTTTGTTCCTTGTTGGTGAGTCCTTTTTCGAAACTGAGGCACTGGAGCGGGGACAGGAGTCAGTTACAACAAATCGAGTAGATGCAACAGTGATCAAGCCTTCATTACGCCGGAGGCTTGCGTAGTTTATACCGTAACATGATTCACACGAACTGACGCACATGGCTTCAGCTGACGAGAAAGTCAACTGAGGCGGGTATCGCTGAACGTATGAGCAACAAAGAAGTCGATGAGGCATGTTTTGGGGGACCTAAACTGTCCTAACTAGTTCATCCAACACCTCACTTCACAAATGCTCGCGCATGGAAATGTCAGGTATGTGCAGAGTTATTCATTTAGTGTGAAGGTCTGTGGTTTGAATGCTGAGTTCCTATGCCACTGTCATATCCAGAACATTTAACTTCAATACCTTAAAATGCTTAGATTTCTGTTTGGAATCAAAACGACAAAAGACGTAAAGCAACCGAGTGCGCTCAATTGGCCTGAGGGATGTGTCTTAGGAAATTCAATCCATTTCTTCAACATAACAGATAATCACCGCTAGGATCACACCCTAGGTCCGTATAAAGTCACTTTTTACAGCAATTTCAACAATTCAAAAGACCAGGCCATTAGAAGGCAACCATTTCTAGTTGAAGAGACGGTGTTCTTTGAGTCATCGTGTAATAGAACGAAGCATGCATATTCATGTTAACAGAAATAACTTGCGCATGGGCGTTTTTTCGTTGATTTCCTTTGAAAGGTGTATGCTGGAACTAAACTGAGTAGATGAGCCTAATCCAAGTCAGGTAGACTGAGACGTTCATAGAAATTTGTTCTACCTTAAATATTTTTCTGATACGAAATAATGGATTAGGCGCGCAACTTTTTATATGAACTACCTCTACCTGCTTGGGTATATATATATATATATATATATATATATATACCAGTGATGCAACAATTTTGACGACTATATCGTATAAATATAGGTGAAGTTCCAACCCGAAAATGAAATTCCTAATGGTGAATGATAAGGAAAAATACAGGAAAATTTGAAAAGATGCATGGAGGTTTTGGCGAAGTATTACTTATTTGCGAAAGCGGTAGTCGATTCTCGAGAACTTTTGAAAAATCATGTGTGGCATGTTAAGTTGAGAAAGGCCTGTACTTTGTCTCAACTGGACACAGACCCACTAAGAACGACCCAACGACTCAGGTTGTCCAACTAGCTAGTCGTTGATACACATGAAAGACATGAAATGGGCTCTGAATCTGACCTGGTGTTTACAGAAAAGATGAACCGAAATTTGAGACTTGCAATGCTACTTGTCAATGATCGTACTCATTAGGGTCCACTTGATGACCTCAAACAAAAGCCTAATATGGCCGAGCTTTTCGGATTTCCACCAGCTTTTTGGAAGAATGAAGCATTGGGTAGGCACTCTCCACGAGTAATTTTCATTAGAATAGAGAGCTTTGAATGAGGTCAGCTAGAACTGAGGGGCAACGAGGTCTCTTAAGTGAAGTTAGCGGCTCAATAAATCATGGACTGACGCTGTCAGAGTCAATCCAATGCGAGAAATAATAAAGACTATGTAAAAGATTCCCAGATTACATCTTGTAACAAACTTGCAAAACAAACCAATCATTCCAACCGACTAAGAATAGTACTAAATTAATATTTACTTCCCAATCATTGGTTGCTCCTTTTTTGGTAGTTGCGTCCAAGTTGGATCTCCAGAGGGCATCTGTTTCTTAATAACGGCCAAAAGCGGTCTTTTGTGAGAGTGGTAGAGTCATACATGTTGAACTCCTTCTGTTCTCTTTTCTGAGAGAGATGTTATGCCCGTTAGTTCAATGGTACAATCCACGATATCGAACCGAAATGGCGTCGTATAATGGGGGATTATTGGAGAAATCCTGCCTTCGGCAAATTGGTTGATGGAAATGGGATATTGGACACCAAGCTGAATGGATCGATGGGTGGCGTCAACGCGTTGATGTAAAATTGGTGCTAGTGCACATTGTAATGAATTACATTTAGATAGGTTGGTCACTCTGAACAGATGTCATATTCCATCGGGTGTTCCGATCACTTACCTTAAGACCTGTTCCGGCTGCCAGTCTAACATTCAAGCCTCTCTCTAGAAGACTGAGTGAAACGCATTGTTGCGATGCCTCAAAAGTACACGTCAAACGGGTGTTCAGTAATCAAATGCTCTGGATCTGTTCACCGAAGAGCCTCCCACTAGTTTACCCTATCATGTCTAGTTCGCGATATTTTCATTTCCTCACACACTTGAGTTTAAAAGGGGGTATTCCATTAGAATTACTGGGAAAGAAGCTGAAAAAAAGTGTAGCCGTGGACACTTCTATCTGCGAGCCTGATTCCCTGGGATGATGACATCCGAAAATGAGTGTTTTGGAAAGTACCGTTTTTCCTGCATACCGGCTTTCCCTGTTGCGTGTGGACCTAAGACCTTTTTTCCATTTTTAGGCTGGCATTTTTACGAAAACCGTTGCTACCAGTCGGCAACTGAGGGGCTTATCAGTTGGAACCAGGCACGAAAGCAGTGCGAACTACAGGGTGCATTTCTAACAAGCATTAACGATGCGAACCACCTGAAATGGCTTCATCAATCGTTCAGTTTACAAAACCCATACTGGATAGGTGAGTTACAGTAGGTCAGACTTTTGAGTTCATTACTATGCTGATGACGCGCCATACGCCAAAGGATCTTCTTTGACCTTTTTCACTACCAATAGGCCTTCATCAACAACGACCGGGGTCGGATTGGATATGGCACAATTTTGAGCGAGCGGGTTTCCACAACTGGGAAAACGGGTCCCCTGTGGAAATCGGCTGGACAAGGAAACGGCGATCCCCTCGCAGACATGCTATAGGTCCAGTGAAGATACTGTCATCCGAACCTTTCATACTGCAATCTCCGGCTCGTCGGACGAAGCGACAAGCTCGGGTTCGTTGGGGTCCGAAGGCGTGTGTCCTGGTCAAACGTGATATGCTGTGGAAAAATCAGTCTTGCAATAAACCAAAGAGGGCAGGGTTTATATGCATGCGTAACCCTGAAGTATAATCAGTGACCAAGATCTATCACGACAAGCAATGAGGACACCAAACTGTCACAGTTATAGTGTGTATATAATCATTCGAGATCACTTATGTGCTGTTGAACATTAAACTTCTTTCCTGTTTATGTACCGTAATTCAGTACTGTTTAGTTGTTTGTCAAAATGATATGCATGACTTTGCCAATGTGTTTGATCATGAAAGAGATTCCATTGAGAATGTACGGAGTGAGACGACAGCTGCAAACACACACTCACAGTGTCTAAGAGTACCGCTTGTATTCAGTAAGAAAATCCCTTTTCCTTCTACACCTATCATATCTATCCATTGTCGACAGAATTACCCGCAGATTTGGCAAGATTTTCCGTAGATTTGTCTGCAGTTTGCTCCACGAAGAGATGCCCGGAACTTTCTCGACTTTGGCGACGGCATATGTATACTTGCATCATGTTTTGCGTAGGTATGACATATTTATTAACTTGAAATGCAGATAATCAAGGGGAAACAGGTGCCGTTTATGTTCTGAAGACTTTTAACAGCAACCTTGAGAACCAAACATAGACAAAAAAGGAGACTCATAAATTCAGTACACTTTTAGTGTTAGTGGTGATTAATGAGTAGTCGAGGACCTGCAACAAATACCGTCACGATACAGAGAATAAAAGGGGAAATGAATGGTCGACTCCAAACTTAATGAAATTGCCATTTTCACGTTCAGTCTAATCAACCATCCGTCATGAGGAACCATTTTCCAGTTCCAGGGACATTCATAATCGCAGTAATCTAGTATAGCCGTTAGAAGCCAAACAACTAGAGTGAGGGAACAAAAAGACGGGTGAATTAAACGAATTCAGGGTGAATTAATTTCCAGCAGCCTAATCTGTTGGACCCAAGGGGGACGGAGTGTTGTACGAAGGCTTGAGGAATATGGTAGAATGAATGGGTTTTGAATTCAATGAAATATTCTTTTAAATGGAGCATCATGGCAAGCTGGAGAACGCGTACAGTGGGATATTAAGAAGCAAATGAGAACTTCGAAGAGGCACGTAACTTCCAATATATAGAGAGATTCTCTAATTATCTACGGTCGCATCCTGTGACCTCAGTGAATTGATCGATTACCACATTTTATCTGGGGGACCAAAATAAAACTAGGTATAATCTGAAGAAAATAGCAGGAGCTTTGTAATGGTGCGTGGTAGTTCAATGGCACATCATTAAGAGCCTGGGGAACGGAATCAACCAAGCAGCACGCAACGACCTGCTATCCGCTTCAGAGTCAGTCAGTATTCCTTGGATGGCAGTGATCTGATCGGTTTGATGAACCACAAGAAATAGTTCAAGTTTCAGTACGGCGAATGACCAAGTCGTTTGAGTGCAACAGTTTCCCCTGACTTACCAGTGAGTCACAGTAACTTACTGGACGACTTACTATATCCAAAACGCCGTGAGGTTCCTGGAAGAGGCGTCTAAGAATGAGATACTGATGCATTATTTCGCTAGTGTTCGAAGACTTAGCCCCGAATTAGTTAACCTTGCGAAATGTTACCCAAGTCGTTTCCGTACTGCACCGACACCACCTAGTGACTGTAGTTTTCAGCTCTGCTGAATGCCCTGTAACGTGATTTGGCTTTAGGGGTTGATGCGAAGTCAGATACATGCGCGGACGGCCAAGTCTTTCAGGGCGATAAGACCCGTGTAATCTGGGAAAAATATAGCACTCACAAATCACTCGCCATTGGATTCGTCCTATGCCACAATATGCTGCACTCGGACACCGTACTGATTGGTTCAGACTGTCTGAGTCAAGTGAGGTGAGAAATGTCGGAATGCGCTTAAACTTAGCGCACTTCTTTGCGTTCCTGAGATTGCCCAGTACTTAAAAATTTCTGAAAAACAAAAGGACTGGTAGGATTCCGCACCCTTAAGATCCGCCACCGTTGAAAGGCGTATGCAGAGGAAAACCTCAAAACACTGCGCGTTGTTATTTCCCCAGTGAACATTTCACACTATGTAGTATAAAAAATAAAAGAATACCGGCTGATAGTGATCCAGATTATTTTGAATGATTAGTGAACTAACCACTAGGGAGCAACACAAAGCCAAGTTGTTCGATCTTTTTGAACAACTATTGTGCTAAGCTTTGTCATGCAAGCAATCTGGAGCATTTATCCCTCGACCTGTAAAAACATTTTAGTACCACTGCGTTCAATGTGTAGCTGTTTGAGTGTACACGGATGGATTTAGCAACATCACTTAAGCAGTGCGTGCTGTGCATTGAGATTATGAAGCGTTTACTGCAGCACAAAACTGGTACACAAAAGTAATAGCCATTTAACCATGCATGCTGCTGGAACGCATATCCCATTATGTCGTGAGCACCAAAAATTTGCCAAACTTACTGCACGATGTTTCAGTAAATCTTTCCCTCCTAAAGTGTGAACACTCGGCCCAAAAGTTCCAGAATCTCTTCATACTATGGGTAAACAATAAAGGCTTAGCAGAAAGAATACTTTGCATGAAGAGGACTTCCCATAAGAGGAGTCATTACTCAAGCAGCCGGTCAATGTGACCACGTGACGTGGTTTCTACGATTGGAGGATGAGCCCTGGCTAGATGCAAGTTAATCTCAGAACTGGTCGCTAGGCCGTTTAATCTTCCACTGCAAAGCAATGTAGCTTTAACGGGAAACTCAGCTGAATCCCTGCTGAATCTCTCGTCTTTAGTATATTTTCCAACTGAATGTACTGGCACGGTACTTTAGATTTTTTCGTAATGAGACACACGACCCATAGGGTGGCTGAAAAGTTTTCGAAAGTCCACGATCGGCTTCGTTCTCCGTGTAGGCACAGCACATTCAGTTGAAAAATATCATAAATGAAGAAACTCAGCTGGAATTCGGGTGCGTCTCCCTGTTACTACAAATTAGTTTGCAAATGAGTGCGTTTCGCGAATTGCGCCTAATTTATAGACGTAATAAAGGTTGCTGAAAATTCTGCTTAGAAACACCATTAACGAGAAATTTAGCTGGTTTCCAGGTGAGCCTCTCCCAAAACCGAATTTATTTGCAAATGAGTGCATTGCGTCTAATTTAGTTTCAAGTAAAACGTAAGTTTCACGAAGTCGCGCCTACCTAATAAGCCCCAAGATGTGCGTAACAGTTCGTCGGTTATCGAAAAGCCATAGGAAATGTTGTAAGTAGTGATCTATTAAATAACCGTTATCATCGTTTGTTCAGGTGATATATGCATCCAGATGCATATATATCAGGTATCTGGACACCGCCGAACTAAATGTAAGCGCTACTCCAGTTGAAAGAACTCGCGTTTTTCACCGTATCTGTAACGTGTAGTTTCAAATTAAGGGACTTTAGCTGTTCTACTGTGGTAGGTAGCTGTTTAATTCATGGAACCTTGAATCAGATAGATAAAAGCGAATTGCTCATGACTGCTTGTAATGCGAGTAGTTATCGCACCAACGGTTCGGTGGAGTTGTGGAGTGTGCAGGGTTTTGGTATGCCGCTCCGTTTTTATGAAAACTGGATTCTTTCTGGTACCTCATATCAGTTCGTCAGCTATTGACTCACTGGCTTCGGACAAACTATGCGTTTGTGCGCTTATGATATAAACTGAGGATTCAATCGAGGTTCGGACAGATCTCACGATCATGATTTACCTCAGCAGAGTGCATAATTTAACGCATGTCATTCAGTTCATTTGGTTAGAATACTGAACTCTTCTTTACTCGAGGGAAATACCAAAAGCGATGTTAAAAGATAAAAGGAATCTTATCGGAGACAAACATATTGGGATGTTGTTCAAAGGCATCCTTTGGTCAGTTTTCAGGTGCCACTCAGAAAACAATGAAAAGTTAGATCGAGAAGAGCATTGCTTGTTCAGAGAATACAGTATGACAACCTGAGTTTTTGAGCCTTATGGGCACGCATGAGAAGTAAAATTCATCCAAATGTGCCTGAAACGAACGTGAACTCATGCGTACCAGCTGGTCCGTCAGTCACAAAGGCTAGTGTGTATAGGAAGTCTTAGCAGCTAAATTTCTCAGGAAGCGTAACTACTGAGAGGTCCAGATTACCGGTCCTATAGTTGTTCAATCACTGATAGTGCCGGTCACTGCATTTGTCGTTCCGGCCATAAAAAATTAGGCACATCCATCAGTGTGCTCCACAACCCTGTATTAACACGACAAATGGTCCCATGTAAGCAAGCAAAGAAAGCCCGACATGCATAATGAATGGCGAACCGCCTGACCAAGCAAGCAAGCAGCAAGAGATGAAGGATTTTATGGGAAACCTAAAACAAAGGATCCCAAGTGAAAAATAAGTGGACTTGGAAGGGACGGGTCTCGTTTCACCACGAACCATATTGCAGATTTTCATGCACCACAAACATGGTCCAAACCATTTTGGTAAAGTTCCGTGCCAGCCGGCTAGACGATGCTTTGTGTTCAACCACAAAACGGAACCGTACCAAGTGATTTTTCTGGAAGTTGTTCAAGCGGCAACTATCTTACCGACTAACTCAACTGCACAACGTACCCTGACGATTCTGAGAAAAACGTTGAGTTATTTGGGGCAAACAATCGAATGTGTATTGTTCAACCAACGGAACCGTACCAAGTGATTTTTCTGGAAGTTGTTCAAGCGGCAACTATCTTACCGACTAACTCAACTGCACAACGTACGTACCCGATTCTGAGAAAAACGTTG